CCCGCAGAGAAAGACGTCTTCTGCAGCATCCACCAAGCAGTCGGCTTCTTCGATGCCAGCTGTCTGATGTAGTACGTGGAGGCAGCCTCCCTCGTCGTCCGCGAACGCCACGATCATCTGAAGAGGCTTTCGGCCCGGCGGGACCGCTTCTTGCATATATCGTGGCATATAAACGACACACGCTACAAGCCTGTGCCAAGGTTAGCTCATGCCCGGCTGCGCTGCCTCCTTCTGCTGCTCATCGTGCAAGTGCCTGCACAGCGCGTGCGGCTGCCGCAACAACGGCGTCTGCACCACGGCCGACGTGCACCGTCGCACATACACCCGGGGCGGACGACAGCCCCAGCTCACCGCCGCCGTCACAGCCTGCAACTCAAACGCGACGATCCTGTTCTCCGCAGGCGTGCAGTACAACAGCTTCACGCCGGTGCAGTTCGCGCTGGGGCAGGACGTGACTGTGCGCATCCTAGGCAACATCAGCCTCCCTGCGGACATTGCACAGGTGCAGGCGGCGTGCGCAGCGCGGCGTACCGCTCGGGCTGGTTCGCGGTGTCGTCCACCGGGCCTGGCGTGCGCTTCGCCGGGCCGGATAAGATCACAGGCGGCGGCGGAGGGGTCGTGCGGAGCTTCGGGCAGGCGTGGTGGGACGCGGGGCAGCAGACATCGAGGCCCCTGCTGTTCCAGTGGCGAGCCAGGTACGCTTCGGGTGGGGGTACCCCAGGTTTCTAACGGATTCGCAGCAACGGGACTATTCGCGGGCTAACGATCAGCAAGCCGATTGGAAAGAGCTTCAATATTGCGGGGAGTGGGAATTGGATTGAGGACGTCGTTGTGGATGCGCAGTCGAGCAGCACGGCGTTCCCGTTCAACACGTGCGTGCGATTTCTTGAAACACGTTCTTTCAAGTCTCATCTCGAGTCTCATCAGCGACGGTTTTGACGGTGCGTACATCACATCAGACACCTCATTCACATTCGTAAACCCTCTCAAAACCATCCTACAGTCGGCGGAGACGGCAATACCATCCTCAACTCGCAGGTCTCGAACGGCGACGACTGCGTCGCCATCGGCTCACCGTGCACGAATCTGCACCTCAAGGGCCTCACGTGCATTGGGTCCCAGGATATCCGTGGCCGCGAAGGGTGGGGGGTCCGTCAACGTCGCGAACATCCTCGTCGAAAATGTCACGCTCTTGGATGGGTTGTATGGCGCGCGGTACAAGTGGGTGCGATCTGCGCTCCAATGTGAAGCTGACGCGACCCAGATCGACGAGTGGCAACCAGGGCCGTGCGAGCAACATCGTGTACCGGAACGTCGTCGTGCGCAACATCACGTTCCCCATCTACGTCACTCAAAAGTCAGTCCCGGCAACATGGCGTGTGCTAGCGCTGACTGCATGCGCCGGCAGTTACTTTGACCAGAGCCAGTCGCCACCCCCGCCGTCCACCTCTCAGTCCAGATCGATGGATTGACGTTCCAGGACTTTGCGGGCACAATCAACTCGCTGAACCCAGGTCTGTCGGATTTATCTTCCCCTATCTTATCTCATCTGCTCCTGACCAGGCGACGGCTCGTGCATATCGGATCCGTGCTGGTACCACGTCGCCGGCGCAGACGGCACCCAGTCCATCATCTTCGACAGCCTCCACGCGGGGTCGGCGACTAACCTCTCGGCGACGGGGATCGCAGTCGTACCGGACGCGCCGTCCGAGCGGCCGACGGTAATGTACAACGCCAGCGTGACGCCGGGGGACGTCGGGTTCCGGTGCTGGGACGGGCCGTACATCCCCACGTATTCAAGTTGACGCCTCCTCTATGAATCACACGTGTCTCTAGTTCCACAATTCTAGGAACGGCCCCGCGTGCGGTCGCGGGGGCTCATCGGCCTGCATCATGACCAGAAAATCGGACACCAGTCCGGCCGCCGCTCGGGATGTAATCTCGGCGATGTCGTATGCCGGGGCGACTTCCACGACGTCTGCCCCGCTGAGAAAACGAGTCAGTCAGTCAGCGCCGATCTTGACCGTGGAATCTCGCGTACACAAAGTTGAGCCCTGCCAGGCCGCGGATGATGCGCTTCATCTCCCGTGTCGTCCAGCCACCGATCTCGGGGGTGCCCGCTGCCCAGAATGGTGAGCGCTAAGAAACACCGACTGATGCATGCACGTACTGGCGGGGGCCATCCCGGGTCGATTCGTGTGTCGATGTCGAGGCTGTGGTGAGTGTGAATATGAGTGACTTCAGCGCCAACTGCAACACCCACCTCAGGTACACCGGGTGTTGCCGACGCGTTCCCTGATCTTTCGGATGACAGCCTCGATCCCGTAGTCGTCCAGGTCCTCCGCCGAGATCACGGCGAACCGACTGCCTCGTCGTGCTCAATAACCACCTTGCCCTGCTGCATCCCTGTGAGCAGCCCTGGGACGGAAGGAGAGGGTGGGACTGACGCTCGACTTTTGGCGGATCCCGCCGTGGATGCTCGTGTTCGTGAGCAGGCCCTCCTCGTGCGCGAGCGTGAAGTACGAGCCGTGGCTGATGCGCCCCGGGCCCTGGATGTGCTCGACGGCCGCCGTGTCGTAGTGCGCGTCAAAGTGGATCACCTGGGAGGACCAGCCGGGCTATCAGTGGGTCGTCGAGCGGCTCGATCTGAAGGCACTGACAGAGATAGGCCCGTACACTTTGTAGAGCGCGCGGAGGATCGGGAGGACCTGAGAACGTAATGATGCAGTCTGTGTGGAATAGAACCCGCCGGAGACGACATACGATGGTGTGGTCCCCGCCAAGTGTGACGATGCGCGGATGCTCCTGGCCGTCTTTGGACAGCGCGGCCGTGCTGGCCTTGGTCTCCCCGCTGACCGGGCGCCCGAGGAGCGTACTGTACGCGACCTCCATCTGGTCGATCGCCATTGCGTTGTCCATCATCGTCGTCGGCACCTGGCGATCGGTTACCCAACCACACGGGCGGTAGCACTCAGACGAGGAGACGCACATCGCCGCAATCCATGATCCGTGCACCCCAGTCTAGCGCGCTGTGATCCCACGCGAGCGTGTACCCGTTACTTCCGCTCCCGACGCGGATGGCTTGCGGCCCGAAGCGCGCGCCGGGGCGGTACGACGTGGTCGTGTCGAACGGCATCCCGAGGAGCGCGATGTCGAACGCGCGTGACGCGTCCTCGAGGCACCGCGCGTACGGGAGGTGGTTGAAGCTCAGCGGGCCGGTGTAGCCTAGGTCGTCCTGCGCGCCGTATTTCGTGAACCACGCCTCGGTCGAGACGTCCACGGGGGTCGCTGGCGCGGCATGTGAGTGGGCGGAGATCGAGGGCACGGTGAGCGACAAGAGCGCTGCGAGTGGAGCAAGCATTGGAGACGAAGCTACAACGACGCGATAACGGCCAGCGGCATCTTATGTGAAAGACTCCTGATAAGAGTTCACTGCGCTATCTGGCCGCGGCCGTGCTCTTCTCTGGATGTGTTCACGTGCCTATACGGCCTATACGCAGCCACCGATAAATATCTAATCGATAAGCTTGCTGTCTAGATCGCCATAGGGTATTCTTCTTTGTGATTCATCTTCAGGACCGTTTATCGCACTTCAAGTATTTAAGAAAATCGATTCAGGGCCGCATATACTCTAGCAACAGGTCCGATTCCAGTCCATGCGATCACCGACGCTCTGACCGTCGGAATGAAGCTAACGCTGTTCTGTGTACCTTGTTGCAATCCTCTTATTCACCGAGCCCGTTCTGACTGTTAGCTGGTTGATAGGGAAAGTATATTGCAATGAATGAGATTTGGAGCTCCAGAACAGGGGAACAGCGCGAACTGAAGCCCTGGTCGTCATTGCGTCTCGGACTGTGTCTCCGTTGCTTGAATTGGCAAGGCCATGATTCCAGCGTCCAGAGTCACTTCGATACACTCGAAGCGACAAGGAGAATGAGAGGAGCCCAGTACTAGTGCCTGCAGCAACCGTCCGGGTTTCCATGCTTGCCCTTCCGTACTGCTGCTACCCTTCACTCAAATCACACAGATTTAACGCGGCCATCGCCGCCGCTGGGTGATGTCACGCGCCGTCAGACTACCTCGCTTTTACCGACCGTCATTACCTGCAGTGTTTTTCGCCTGCCTTCGACGACGACGACGACGACGACGAAGATGGCGGGTCAATATCCGCTGGCGGCTCTGACTGTCTTTTTCACCGTCTCTCTGTCCATACCTGCCGTGCTGGCGATTCAGCGTCTGCACCGCGGGGTTTCTATCGAAAAGCCAGCCTCACATCCCTTCCCGACCGCCTCTCCCTCCTCACCTTGTGGTCAGTCCCGCCCTGCGGGTCTTGGATTGGTGCTCGCTGACATCGCACGCACATACAGTCGTTCTGTCCTCGCTATCGTGCTGTGATCGAGTTGGCTACTCTCAGACGGTTGCCGTCCGAGGAAGATCGACACGTTACGGAGGACCGCGACGAACATCTGTCCTACGACGACGACGACGAATCAGAAGTCGAAGTCGACGAGAACGTCGACTGCACGCGTGCCGCCGGCCCGTCGACCGACACCGCGGCTGCGCTCGCTCCGGTCCGTGGGAGCCTTGGCCGACGGGGGCCGCTGCAGGATGCGACGCCCCCCGCCGCCGCGCGACTTCGCGATCGACTGGGACGACGTCTGGCCGGCGTGGACCCGGGATCCGCGCAGCAGCCGTACCCGGCTGGTCTACGACACGTACTTTGACGCGTTCAGGAGCACGGTGGTGCACCCCGTGCGTCCTTCATGCGGCGAATCTGGCGCAGATGCGGACGAGGGGATGCTGGAGGCTATCATGCAATTGGACGACGACGAGCTCGTCTCGGCGTTCCGCTCCCTCTCCCTCAGCTCTGACGATCGTGGGGACGACGACGACTGTGCGGGCAACCCGTCTGCGACTCTCTCTCTGCCCGAAGATCTCGTGGTCGGGCCTCCCGCGGGGCTCTCGCCGTTCTGCCCTCCCCCGGTCCCCATTCCGTGCCCAGAACAGCCAGCTTCTGCGTGGCGGCTCGACTGGTACTGACTGCGTATCACGCATCACGCATCCCACATCCCTGGCTCTGCCCTCTCATTCGCATCACTTCGCACCACTCACTCTGCATCCTTATCACTCCGTAGCATTCACTCACTGCCCTCCGTACAGTACTCCCCCTGCGGCCCTACCTGGCCCAGGTCGCCTTGTCCTCACTCTACATTCCTTGCGCATTTCGTTCCATTGTTTTTGTTGCGCAAAATCGCACGCATCGCATCGCATGTATTAGCTTATCCACTGTATAATTGCCATCCTGTCCTCTGTTTGTCCCGGTCCCGTACCTTGTGTTTCGGGGCTGAGGCTGATCCCTATGCTGTCCAGCGCACCGCGGGGGATTTGCAGGGACTACTTAGCAGATCCCTCCCATTCAGGTTACGATCCAGATCGGCATCGTGAACAATCACAAGAGCAGCTGAACTCGCTGTGGTCAGGGGGATGTATTCCTCGATCGTGAGACATCGATTCGAACGAGATCCGATCTGAGTTGTGAGGACAAGTGAGACACAACAAGGAGGCTTTCGCGTCTCGGCAGTGTGACCTGAGTCGTGATCGTGACTGCACGCGCTACCACGTGCGCCAGATTGGTCGAGGCTCCCATCCACCCATCCACCTTGCCTGATTTACTAAGCGAGCGAGTATGTCGTTTCCAAGAAGACAAAATGTAATACTCGAGGTATTTTTGATCTAAGATCTCGTTGGTTACTCGACTAACTCTTCTCTCTGAACTGACTCCGAGGGGTGACAAGAGAGAGGATATTCCTGTGATTACTCACGCTATGAGGCATGTTCCGACGAGTTGAAAGAGAAAGAGCGCGAGTTATTGAGGCGCGCGCTACACTCAGCAGTACTGGTCGGTGGGTTTCTCGCCCTAGGTGCATCGAAATCGAAGAATCCAAGACTTGATATCGGTAGGACATACATTCATGGCGGTGTGATTTGCAGCTTGGCAGCTTCGGAAACACATGCGATTCGAGAGAACTGATGAAAATTACTTGGATTGATATGCGGTGGACGGAAGCGGGTTTTTCACTGGGAAGCGATGGAAACCTCCCTCAGACGCAGCTTCCCATTCATGAGAGCACTTGAGGGATGCTGCGGCCATCGAATCGCTGGCAGACGTTGACGCAGTGTTTCATTCTTTCGCCATCCAGTTGGTGATGAAAGATTCTTCCGCCGGCGCACTCGCGCTCCGGTCATCCTGGACGACATCGCCGCACCTGTCATCTTTGCAGTGTTCATTATATTCGGACTTGCTGTAGCATTCGGAACGATTTAATTCGTGAAAACCGAATCCTCATAACGATAATCCGGGACGACATTCGACGGAGTGTTTGCAGCGCAACCGTCATCCCCTCCTGTCGTTTATCAAGTCAAGTTCCGCCCTCTTGTCTCCATCGTTCGGCAGCTTGCACGGGGGGGCGCGGCCACCCACGGGCCAGGTTTTGAGAGCAAGGGCTTGATCGAAGAGAGACTGCACATCTGAATACAAGATGTGTCGCGGTCCAGGTCGAATGGAGGTTTGAGTGCAGTCGGCGGTTTACCAGAGAGATTCTGAGCCATGACGAGGTCTTGAAAATCACTTGTCAACGACCACAAAGGGAAGCCACTTGGGGCGTAGTCTTCCTCGCGGAAGAGGGATGATGACTTCATGAGAAATAGACACACGGTATTGAATAACCCAGAGAAGCGCCGAGGACCAAGCCGATGTTCCGTGTGTCGCAAGCAAAGCCAGATGAGCAGCCAGTACAGCGACTCGAGATCGTGACCCAGCGCGTGCTTTGCGGTCGGATTTTTCTGAAGCATCGCTAATGCCATGAAAGAGGGGGTACCCTGCGAAGTCCAAGTCGATCTATACACCATCCAAACAAGAGCACGCACCGTGCTGCCCTTCGTTCGCCTTGTCCTGATCCGGAAGAAGTGTCGGTGCGGCCTCGGCTTGACGACATCCCTCAGAACTCTCAGCGCCTCTTCACTCAGCGCAGCGTAGTCACAGTCGATGACAAAACCAACGAGCCTCTCGGGCTCGAGACAATTCTCGATCAACAGCACATTCCCTGCCTTGATGTCCTGTTGGACCGCGCCAGCTTCGTGTGCGCGATTGAGTTCTGCGGAGACGTAGAGGAAGAAGAGCTGGGGATTGTTCGGAAAACTCACGTTCTGGCGCTTGTGAGAAGCCATAAACCATCGTCCTCGTGCTCGGGAACTCTTCGATCCGAACCCAGACGGGCGTAAGCAGTGTGCGCATGTGATACCGGCGCGAGGCAGCGAACTCGTCGACAACAGATCACGTCTCGTGCTGCGGTGGATCGCAGGAGGGACCCGACGCTCCGTTCTCGTAGACAGTATCTGCCTCGGTTGAACAAACGCAAGAGCTTCATGGATGGCATGAAACTCGATTTGATTTGACCCAGTCTGTGACTGATCACGTTCGCGACCTTTGACTGTTTGTTTCTGCAGTGTTGTTGATAAGTAGTTAAGGTCTTAACTTGACCAGGCTTATTATGTACTTAACTTAAGATAAGTTGAACCCTTAACATCGGTGTAAAACATAATAAGGCTCTTAATAAGTCTTAATATAGAATTACCTACACTGGCAGCAATTCCCATGAACAGACAACGTCCACGTACCAGCTCGTGGCTTCCAACCACCCTCTCATCTCTTTTGGGGGGAAAGTCTCAAACCCCATTGTGATGGCCTGTTGCGAACGCGTGGTGTTGGAGGAAGCACTGTACATGGAGCTGTTAGCTGCCAAACATGACAATGAAGCACCGGATGCAGGTGCTCTTGAGGGCTCCGGAGATGAATACGCGCCGTAGAAGTTTTCTTGTAATGTTTTGAACCAGTATTGACGCAAATAAACTCATTTGGGACTTGAATACAAATCAGGTAATAAGCCTTATAAAAGACCCTTAAAATAGGCACCCTTAATAACTCTTACCTTGTCCTAAGACCTTAATTTCAGCAGACACCCTTAATAACACCCTTATCTACAACACTGTGTTTCTGCGTATTAGATGCTTAGGGACCACAACATATTTCCAAGCATCCTACAGATGCCGCGCCTAGTTCGGTAACATGTAGCCAGACATGGCTCTGAGATCCGAGCCCCTTGAACACTTCAAGGATCACTTGATCATATCTGAATATTCCATGACGTAATGAAATCACATGACCCTCCGTTCGGATAACTCGTGCCTCGCAAGTTCCCGCACGCCCCACTGCTTTTGCTGTGTCTGCCTAGTGAAGGCGCTGCCGGAGACGCCTGGGGACTTGACCTTTGACTTGTAACATCTCACTGAGGTAGTATCATCAGTTGTCATTCCGGTCTCCTATACTGAGAACGGTTCCGCTCCAGACCCCTCCACTTCACATCGCTTCGCCCA